CTTGCTCTGGATCTATTGAGTGTCCTATTACAGTCTGTGCCACCAGCCTTGTGGTAGCTTGTGTAAGTTTGAAGCTTCTGGCTCTCTGATTGAGACACATTTGCTTCTGCAACATCACTAAAGAGCCTTAAACCAATACAGCAAGGATGTACTTTCTAAAGAAAGCCAAACAACCAAAACAGATTCTAAAAAATGCAGTGCTTACAAGTCCCCTGTGTCAAACATGGCAGAAGTCCTTCTCAGCAAGAGGACAGGACAAATGCTTACATTCATTCCTGAAGTTCACCCAGAGTCCTTCCCTCTGCCAGATACCACCTACTGCAGATATTTATTTCTCCTTCTCACTTGAATTTAAACAAACAAGCTCTGTCCATACACTGTCTTTGGCTGCTATTTGGGTAAAAAGCAATGCCTGAACTGCTGAGACAGACAGAACCCTCTTCATCCTCATGATGGCAGAGGCACAAGGCATGGGCAGTCATCATAAAAATACTACCAAAGTCTCTCTCATTTTTAGCACCTTGATTTTGTTTTGCTGGAACCCAAGTGTACAACCTGTGCCATTTCATGGGCTATAAGCTAACAATTTTCTCTGCCACATATGTACCCACACAGGAACCCTGGAGTTGATTTCTGGTGCAGGGAGCAGGGCTGAGGACTGGGTCAGGTTTTAATCTGACCGCTGCCTGGGCTGCCCACAGATAACCAAGATATCATCTTCAAGCCCCTTCCTAACCCTGGCATATCCACAGCTTGCAGGGAGGAATGGATTCACCACCACTGACAAACATGATTCCTTACATTTATGGGCTCCTTTCAGACCACTGTGGAATGACATCATCACCAAAAGGAGACCAAGTGACCCAGATGGGTGGGTAACTCTCCACCAGTACTACAAACCAGGAGCAGGAGGCAGTAAAATCATGAAGGATGAGAAACTCTCGTGCCTTGCAAGGGGAGGACTGAAAATTAGGAGCTTCCTCACCTGCTTCTGCCACCTGGCCAGAGGTGCTGGGGCTCTGTGACCAGAGGGTGGATACACAATGGTGACAGCAGTATCAAGAAAACAGCAAGGAGGTTGGAAAGAGGGCAGAGATATCCAAGGAGGCACCAGATCTGGTGGCTTTGAGACCTGCGGGATGGGGAATAGAGAAAGACTGCAGCTTCAGACAAGAAAGATTTTCACTTCTCTGGTTACCTCAGCAGTCTCAGGTCTCAGAGTGGCCAGAGCATCAGGCACAGAGCACCAACAACAGCCAGTCTAGCGTGGGCAAAAGTGACTGCCAGCCCTTATCCTGCTGGCACAGCAGCTCCTGCTGTGGTGGAGGTAACACCCTGCTGCTCATGAGTGTCCAGTGGCAAAAACTGGACTATAGCAGCCAAAGAACAATAGGTAATGAAAGTCCCTAACTAAATCTGCCCAGACGTGCCAGTCTACATTTTGTACCTAATGTTCTGAGCTCTAACACGTGTTAGCACCTCTCCTTCCTAATAGCTTTCCCTTGCGTTTCTTCTCTTCCATGTTATTTAGCCACGCATTAACCTTTGTGTCTCATTCCTGATCTGTTGTTAAAATCTATGTTAATTCCTTAGAATCTTATAACTTTTCCCCCAAGCAAATTCTGAGCAGTCTGGGATTCCTGTACCCGCAGACACAGTAGGTAGCTGATGTGGTCTGCACTCCAACAGCTCAGGCTGCATGAATGGTCTAATTAACACCTCATCAAACTCAGCTTTTGGTTGTGTCTGGAGAAATTCCCTCTTGCACCTGTGCATCCACAAGACACCATATCTAGCCTCCTGAACAGCAGGCCCCAGCCATCAGAGCAGTGCTCCATCACTGCAGAGCCTGTCCTTACACCAGCAGTAGCAATCCCGGTCAGGGCTCCAGGGCTTGCCAGCCCAGAGTGACACTGATGGCTATGGCTGCTCTGAGCTGTTGCTCTGTGCAGGGTGGTGCAAGAACTCAGGAGCAATAACTCAGCACCAAAAGGTGTGCAAAGCCCAAGCTTCTGTATTTCAGGCAGATCTCTCCTCCCCTCACCATATCGTGCTTCCATCATCAGGAAGTGCACAGCTGTCACCCAGCACAACTCAGTGTCACCTGCCTAAGGACAACCTCTGCAGTGGGACAGTGTGCACACACCTCTACATACTGCAAACTCTCAGGTGTCCAATCTGCACTCATTGCTTAACAGACCCCAGAGAAAGGTGGCATCTCAGGAGCGGTTCAGTTCCGCCCTGTCCTGGAGGACAGACCTTAGGATTGGGTCAGAACAGCCTTGGAGGTGCCCATCTTCCACCACTGAGACCAACAGAGCCTGGTGCTTAGCAGATACAAATGCCCAACTCATGCTGACACTGCCATTATTGCAGGAAAAAAATTAAACATAAAGAATAAGTTTAGCTTAGCTGCTTGAGATAACAGTTAAAAATAGACTGCAATGTTTGGTACACAAAACATGCAACAGGAAAATGTAATTCTAGTTAATACTTTACACCAAGACTTTTCTCTGAATGTTTCAAGACCTAAGGTAACTCCTGAGGCTTTCCCTGGAGAACATCTAATGCCAGGTTCTACTGTTGGAGCTGAGCTCCCTGAGCTCTCCTCTCCTGTTTCGGTTCATTTCTGTTGCTTCCCCTACCAAAACTCACTTCCTCACTTTGTGTAACAGAACCATGCTTGCCTGACATACTAATCCACCCTTCCCATCTTCTCCTCTGGGGTGTCATCTCCTCCCTCCAGACTTAATTAACGAGTCATAATCTTCCACTTGGCATATCTCTTCCTACCTAGCTGACTTCTGCTGTTCATCACATATTTTTTTTTAAAGAAGAGAAAAACTTTGCAGACTTTGCATCACCAGGACTATTAGCTGTACACGCTTCATTCACTCAGGATCACATCCTACTGTGATCACTATGTAGACCACTCATGGTGGTCTAGCAAGGCAGACAGAAGATTTGATATTGAGAGCATCTTTCTAATCCTTCTCATCTCTCTTGCTTGCTAACTATGTGGGGCTCATTCAGGACTGTGAGAGGCATGTCCTGGCTGTGACAGCACCAGGCACATGCTGAGCCACATTCCATTGACCAGTTCTGGATGCTCCTGCAGAAGACAGAGCTCTCAGTAGCATTAACCCAGATACTGAAGAGACCTTGGGGAGCTACTGGAAATACAGCTCATGCTGTCAAAGATCTTTGGCACTGGGGTTTGTCCTTTTGCAACTCCATTTCCAAATACTGCAAATGAGCGTTTAGTCCTTTGTCTTTGTGTAATCAGACTTGTTCCTCCTCTTTAAGCCCTGCTTGGTGATAGTGAGGTCTCTATGTGGAAAGACAAGCAGCTCTTTTCCCACAGGACCCTGTGGGCTGCAAGGCCATGCAGGCAAGTGCCACTTGTCGTGAGCTGCAGACACCAGGATTTGGAGTGCGGGACACAAGGTTTCTCCATGGGAAAGAAAACACTTTGAGCACCTGTTGACCAGAGCCACCCTGGCAGGCAGGATGGCAGCAGAGGAAACAGCACATAGCTTGGAGAGCAGGCATGCTCATCACAACTCTTTCAGACCAGCACGGGGGTCTGGAGAGCCCCCACCATCCTGTCACCAGGGCTGTACCTCTTACATACCTACCCTTTCGTTTGAGACGGGGTTTCTGCCATTCTCTCCACCACATTGTACACTACAGCCTCACTCCCAGGGTTGCCGTCTGTCAAAACACAGCCCCAGCAACACTGAGCTGCTGGACCACCCTGGCCGTGTGACTTGGCTCTTCCGACCTCCCTTCCCTGGGACCCGGCTGCGGTGCATGAAGGGCAAACGCAGCAGTAGGACTTCCCTTTCTCTAATAGCTTCTTGGCTCTCATCCCCATTGTTTGTCTTACTCAGCCCGCTCCTCCCGGCGCTAATAGATTTCCTGCTGATCAAGGCTACTACAACATTTTGTAACTCCCCCTGCGCCACTTCCATGCCCTGTACCAAACCCAGGGGCTCCATCAAGCACTGCACTCCCGCGGCATCGGCGCCAGCTGTAGTGTGGGTGCAGGGGCTGTTCCCCCACTTTTGTCAGTGGGAGGGACGCTGGCGGCGCAGCTGGTTCAACCAGCTTTATGGTCTCTTTGTGCTGCTGCAGCAGAGCTGAGAATCTGGCCCTGGCTCCCTCCCCGCCTCGCTGGGGACTGCATCAGTGTGCTGTTTATTGTTTCTGCCAGATCATTCCTGCAGATGTTAATGAATGCTAGACCCAGCTTTGCTCCCAGCAGAGTCCCTTCCACACCTCCCCCTGCCCAGTCTTCTGCACTGGAGTTTCTGTTTACAGTCCTGCAGGGAATTTCACTTCTGCTGCATGGTCTTCAAGCCGCACAGTCCCAACTCTTGCTGCCAGCAGGCTCCCACACCTCCCTGATTCCTGTAGCTGTCCAATGTTACCTCCAGGTGTCTGTGTCCCTCACTGTCACCATTCCTTCTCCACCTTTGGCCTTCCCAAACTAGAGACCTGCCAATTCTCCTAGGAGGAAGAGGGCTTGGTCAGTGAAGAAAGTTGCTAGAGGTTCTTCCTCTGCATGTATGGAGAAAGCACAGGGAGAAGAAGTCACTAAATAGTGACAAAGCAATTTGTCCAGGAGAACTCAGAGATAAAACATCCACGCTGGTAAGTGGTGCCAGGACCCACCTCCTGATCTGGCAGCCCACAGGCCTGCAGCAGCCTGCCCTGTCTTCAGATCCCAACAAGGTGGGCACCTCAGTCTGCCTATAATTGGGAAACACTGGAAGTGCTTGGGAGAGTGTTAATTAGTTCAGCCTAAAATCCCAGCAGCTACCTCTGCAGAATTTTAGCAGTACAGACAACCATCTCCCCAAGTCTCTGCTACTATGGTGGCTCATCCTGGAGGCTATTGGACATTGGGAATTCAAAGAGCAAGCCTACTTGTTGCAAAAGGGCTCTGTCTCAGGAGGGATTTCTGATCTCTTTTTCATCAAAACAATATCACTTACCCTTCCAGGAAAGCAATGACGTTCTTTCTGGGCCTCCCAATGTTTGGCCCATAGAGGTGTGCTCTGGAATAAGTGCGGATAAGCTGCATCAGGCTTCTCAGCTGAGTGTAGTCCTTTCCTAGCTGGCTGCCATTCACCGAGCGGCCAATCAGTGTCCGATAGTTATTGGGTTCTGGGAAAATAAAAATACACAAGCAAGGCTTGTCAGCTCTGCTCCTTCATCTGCACTTCCAGAGAGAGAGACACACAGCTCACCCTGTCACACAGCTTGAGGTCCGGAGAGGAGGCAGGCAGCAGAAGGAACCTTTAAGGAGCAGATGAGAGCCACTGCTTGCTCTCCTGCACTCTTTTTGCTGTGTGCTGGGAGAAGGACCTGTACCTTGGTGTCATGCTCCCATCCCCGTAGAGTTGCCCACTTCCCATGGCACTGTAGCCACCATACAAGTCCACCCCAGGACCAGCTGAGCCCAGCAGCCAGGGCAGAAACACTGTATACACTTAATACTAACTAGTAGAAATGTCCAGCTAAGGGCTAACTCACACCAAGTCTGTCTTAGAGATGGTGCTGGGGCCTTTAAATCCATCTGAAACTACACTGGCAAATTATCCTGGGATCTGCAAATATTCTCTTCCAAAACTGAATATATTTCTCCTACAGTAAGCTCCGTTCCTGTGGCTCTCCTGTTCCCACACTCACCATTGCCCAGCTCCCAGGAGATGTTGTACTTCTTGCTGGCACTGTACTTCAGGAGGCTGAGGGCATTGGAGCTGTTCCAGGAGTTGTTGGGATTTCGGCGCAAAGCATTCAGTGCAAAGATCAGGTGAAGGCCAGAGCAGTCAGCAAAGTTATAGAGTTTGTCTAGAGACCTGGCTGGGAAGAAACAAAAAACAGTTTGTAATTCAAAAGAAAGTTAGTTCCAGGGAGGTTCAAATGATCCTGCTGTCCATCATACCTTGCCTTCTGTGTAGGATGAGCCAGGGTCAAATGCCATCCCCACGACATCTGTAACTGCAGAAATGAACCTGACCTTTGAAACTGGGATAGGATTCCAGGTGTGGGCTCATCTCCTTCCAGCATGAAACTTGGATGCCCTCCACCTCTGTGTCAGAGCTGGGGCCATGTTACCAGAGACAAGTGACTTTATAACATCTCTTTTCATCTGCTGTTGGCAAGGAAAGTTCAGCCTTTCCTGTGCTTATTCTGCCTTGTATCTTTTCCAGAGCAGACCCCTGCGGTGACTGGGGAGCAGAGAAGGAAGTCACCACCCCAGAGCTGCCAGCTCATGGCCACCTCTCCTACATGCCACAACAGCCTGCTCTCTGCTCCCACAGGCCCCAGTACAGTAACCAAGACCCAGCAATGATCAAGTAAAGCCTCCATGCACCACACACCCAGCTAACCTCTGCCCTGCACCCAAAGACTGGAGCTTTGTATCATCTCTTGACGTAGGGGAGAGGGGGCCTCCCTGCCTAGCGACAGCCTGGATGTGCCCTGATGCCAGGGTGGCCTTCCTGAGGTGCTGGGGCCCTTGTGGGATTCATATCCTACCTGCTGGCCCCAAAGTTCCCAGGCTGGCATCTCCCTGTACTATAGCCTTGATGAGCAGTGGGGAACCAGCCAGCAGCGGCAGGAGAGACCAAAGAAAGAGCTGACCCACTATTTAGGGTGGTGTGACATTAGCACAGAGCCCTCCTGGGAGAGACACAATACTTAATGACTTTTTTTTCTTAAATCTTCCCTAAAAACTGAAAAGCAATCAAATGCCTGATGAAGCTAATGCCAGTATTAGCAGGACACGAACTCACATGACAGAGAGAGGAGATTTGGTTAGAGAGCAATTAGATAACAGTGGTGTTTTCAATCATCCCTGCCTGTTGAACTGCATCCCAGGACACTCAGCGAGCTTCCTGAAGCAGCCTTGGAGATGCAACCACTTAACTGTGAGGAGCCACCAGGGATAGGGAGGTTCCAGGGGGCCAGGGAGGGCAGACCGTGGGTTCTGCTTTCAGAAGAGGGGAAGGAGGCACTGGGGAGTTACGGAGTAGGCAAACTGGCTTCAGGTCCCAGAAAAACACTTGGACAAATAATCAAGTTGCTTGTCAGCACTTACAAAATATAAGGAGATGATCAACAGCCAGAGGGAAATGCCAAGAACAAATCACACTGAAGCAATCTACTGACAGGAGAGAAAGGCTTGTGGGCAGCAAAGCAGCCATTTATGTCTTATACCTTGATGGGTTTTGAGACTTTGAACACAAAGGATTGCACATGATATTCTCTCCAGAAACTGAGGTAACCCTGATCTGGACAGAATTGCAATGAGAAATACACACACAACAAGAGCAGCTCTCAGTAATTTGCTGTTAGAGTGAAGGGGTTAGGCAGCCTTCTCTAGATCATTTTCCAAAAAAAGTGGCGTATAAAGGAGCAGAGGATACATCAAACTTGCCATGGCACTAAGGTTATAGCAGGCACCACCATGGGCAAGGGAGCTGAAGGGAATGGAGAGGAGGCCACTGCATGCTCAAGGAATTGCCCTTATGCCGGGGGGGATGCTCCAAGATTCCCTGCAGCATACTGCCCATCTGATGTGCAAGTGAAATGGTGACAGCCAGGAGCTGCTCATTCTGGTTGGGATAAGCTGCTACAGCCTGTATGTCTGCATTTGTACTGTTGCCTTTCCTGGTCACTAAAGCCTCAGTGAATACAGAACCAGTTCTAAGAGTGAACTTATTTCAAAAGTAAAGTTTTAAGGAGGGTCAAGGAAATAAGCTAACTGAATAGCTAACTGCAGAAAAGTTATGGAAAGAAGACAGGGAAAATGTGGAAAAGAAATTCCTAATCCTTTTCACCACGTTTTTCTAAATGCTACTGAGTTGTTTGAGTGAAAAGTAGCTGAATTAGATTAATCTAATGTATTCATCCCACTGGTAGGCACATTAGCTGTTTTTCTGGATGTTTAGTGAATTAGAGACAGATACAGTTACTTAATACTCATTTACTCCAGACCCCCAGGCAAAAAGCTGCACTTGAAGTGAGACTCCTATAAAGAGGATAAGATAGACACCCAAATGACAAATGAAGCAAGCAAAAAAGGTGTTACCTGCAGTTCTTCTGAGAGAAATGAAACCTTTTCACAGCACAAAACAGTTGTACTGCAGGAGGGGATTTGGTTCATATTTAGGAGCCACTGCAGGGGACTGAGAATTGATTTTCCATGCATCCACAAGAGGAAACAAGATGTCTGTTCATCCCAATGCAGGGCCTACCACTGTGAAATTATATTTTCCCCATGACACTTATTTTGTTTCCGTGCGCCTGGACACAGAGATGCCACGTGTATTTCATGTTCTGCCACAACTTTCCAAGCTGGAAACCTCAGCAATCAGGGGAGCAGGCTAGGAAGAACACACAGATGTCTGGAATTTGCTCCTGCACATTTCCAGTGGTGTCCCAGAACAGACTGACTTACAGACTGCAATGAAGCTACAAAGAGCAGAAAAGCACTAATAAACCTATCTTTGCATGAAACCAGATTGTTAATACAGCCACTCTTGCTATCAAGAGTATCAGGTACCAAATCCACTTACCTCCTTTGCTCTTGGCAGCTGCCTTGGGATTGTATGAACTTGGAAGAAAACCCATCTAGTCACTCTGGAAGAGCCTTGATAATCAGTTTGCACAAGCTACCCAACCATTCGTGGTTAAAGCACATGTCTGACCCCTCTGAGATGACTGCCTTAAACTGGATGTCTTCAATGCAGACAGCTGCATTTAGATGAGAAGAATACTGTCATGCAGAGTGCATGACAGCAGTGTGCTCAAGTGGCCAAGGAGGCCAGTGGCATCCTGGCTTGGATCAGAAATAGCATGGCCAGCAGGACCAGGGCAGTGGTCATCTTCCTGTACTTGGCACTCATGGGGCCGCACCTCGAGTACTGTGTTCAGTTTTGGACCCCACGCTGTAAGAAAGACATTGAGATGCTGGAGCATGTCCAGAGAGGGACAACAAAACTGTTGAAGGGTCTGGAACACAAGTCTTATGGGGAGGAGATGAAGGAGCTAGAGGTGTTCAGCCTGAAGGGGGCTCGGAGAGACCCTATCAACTCTCTAAAACTACCTGAAAGGAGGTTGTAGCAAGGTGGGGGTCAGCCTCTTTTCCCAAGCAACAAGCATTAGGACAAGAGGAAGGAGCCTCATGTTGTGCCAGAGGAGGTTTAGATTGGATATTAGGAAAAATTTCTTCACTGAAAGAGTTATCAAGGATTGGAGCAGGCTGTCCAGGGAAGAAGTCGAGTCACTATTCCTAGAGATATTTAAAAGAGGTGCAGATGTGGCATTTGGGGGCACAGTTTAGTGATGGAGTTGGCAGTATTAGGATAATGGTTGGACTTAATGATCTTAGAGGTCTTTTTCAACCTAAATAATTCTATGATTCTGTGGATGGCTAAAGCACAAAAAGAAGCTTATTTAGAAGACTTTGAGTGATGTCCAGTCCTCCATATGTACAAACAGAGCCATAAGAAAATGCTATAAATATTTTACTGCCATGACTAGGGATGGCAACATTACTTCTGAGTAATGAGAACATGAAGAATCATAGTATTATTAACAGCTGGCTAAAACTCACTTTGAATTTTGGATAATTGCACTATTTTTTCTTCATCAAACAAAGAAAATCATACAGGAATTTAACCTTTCTCCAGCTAACAGATCATTAGGCAAGGCTTTCACAAAGTATTTCAATAGAAAAAGCCATTGTCGTACTAGAATGAATCTTAATAGAGCAGAACTAGATTTATGGGATGTCCTCCCTGCCCCTTCTCCCCCTCTGCCCAGTGCAGAGATGCACATACTCAGCACTCATGTGCCACTCAGCTCAGGGAGAAGGAATTAAGAAAAAAATAAATTAAAAAAAGCAGAAGGATGCTGAGAGTCAGCTTCTTCCATTTACTAATGCTCACATAGTTGGAATGAGGATAATCAAGGCAAGAAAACTCTGTTCGCTCGCACCCAGTGGCAGCACTTGATAGTGGGTCTCAGTGGGGCAGGTGCCTGTCTCAGTGGGTTTGGGACAAACAGCAGCCAGTAGTCACAGGCCACATAACCCTGGCAGAAAAAAGAAATCAGAAGATATTTAGGCTTTCTCAACCTTTTGCATCCTTGTTTGCAGAGGTTTGAATGCATCTGGACAGTGAGTACAGCCCAACGATGCATGGCTGGGTGGCCACCAGTGAAGATCTGCTAGAAAACCCTGCACTCAGCCAAAGCTCTGCACAGAAATTAAAGTTTTTAGCTGCTTGTATTGATCTCATGCATTCTGCAAAGAGAGATAAACAATTTCAAAATGCAGAAGGTGTCTGTGAAGCCACAAATGATGGTGGGGCTCAAGGGACAAGTACGTCCTTTGGGATTCTTTCCCATTTTTCTTCTTTTTATACAAGGCTAAATTTTAATGTTCTCTGAAAGATGGATGGTACTTAACTCTGTGACATGCCAATACAAAATCTGAGGCACATAAAAACATCTCTGACAGTTTCAAATAATTGGAAAGACTTTCCAGTTGTACTTACTGAATTAAACATTATACAAGAGACTTTTTAAAGAACACAGTATTGACTGCTGTTTGGTAAGAGGGACAGTTCAAGAATCTCTGGGTTTTAAAATCTTCTACATTTTTTATTCTGCTTCAGGAACTTTGCTTTGTCAGGGTTTAGCACGAAGAGAGAAAATTCGTATGCCCATTGAGATGGAGGCTGAGATCAGTCAGTGGGCTGAGGGGTGGTAGGGCATGGCACAGTGTGCCAGGGGCTTTTGTAACTCTGGGAAGTCAACCAGGAGGGCAGGAAACAAGAGCCCATTCTCCCTCT